TAAAGCACTTCACAGGCATTTCATCCATCATACAAAACTCTCCCACTCTCTGAAGTTTATGACTATGTGGCTAATCAACAGTCAAGAAGTAGGTAAGCTATGCCAATGGGCAAGACTTAGCAGATGAGTAAGGAAATAATCCATTGCCAATTTACCCACTTTTATATTCCTCCACCAGTCACTTGATTTTAAAAACAAATCATTTTAAAAGCAGCTGGCTTATATAATCATTCTTCTTCACAAAGTCTCTTTTCCTAATTCAGTGGCAACCTGGTTTTCACTTGAGGGGTATATTATCCAGGTACAGCTAACAAAATATATGTTACATAAGAATTTCATTTAATTTTATTTAAATACTTTTAAAATCTACGTATATAATGCTTATAGGAAATGTAAACTTCCTCCAACTTTGAGATTCCCATAATTAGAAACCTTCAATAACTACAAGTATCCTTTTCATTTATTCAAATATTTACCAAGGGTCTGCTATGTGCCAGGCACTATTCCAGGTACTGAGGATAGAGCAATGAATGAGACAAAACTCTCTGCCTTCACGAAGCTTCCATTCTGTGCGAAATCTCTTAGTATCCAGGATCTGGTATGTGTCTGGGCGTCATATTCACAAACACAGGTGCAAATACAATTGGAAGTATCCCATAAACTATTGATGCATGTCATCACTTTGCAATTCCCTCAAATGTCCTGAACTGATTCTTCTCTTAAATTTTAAATGAAAACTATAATTGAGCTTGAGTCATAAGGTGAAACTCTGTCTCCCCAACAATGTCATTTGAATCATAAGATTTTTTCCTCTTATATCCCTATTCTCCAAAATTTCTTACTGTTGGGGGAGGGAACATACCTATGTATTTTAATTTTAAAGAGAGATACAATTGTGAACATGGAATTTGGAGATATCCCCAAGAGACTTCTATAAGATTAATAAACTAAAATGCTAATTAACTTCCATTTATTCATTCATTTAATAAATATTCGTTCATCCCAGGAGCTCAGACTCTACGTGGGGAGCGAAGGTGGAGACAACAAACACATGCAAATAAACAAAGATGATTACGTGTAGGTCATGATCAGTATTAGGAAGAAGAAAAACGCAGAGCTATGACAAAGACTATAAGAAACAAACTACAGCCCAGGTTATCTACTAACATACTTAGACCTACATTAAAGTCTTTCTAGGTTGCCTTTAAAACTTCCTGACATTGATTTAGAAGACTGAGTATTAAAGTTCATCAAACTTACCTCAATTTCACTTTATAGAACTAGAGCTAGTCTGTGAAATCTCTAGCAGAAAATAAAAGACATCACCCATTCAGCAGTACATCTGGGATTGGACTTTTGATTATATACAGTGTGACCATACAATTTATTATCCAAACTGCAACATTTTCAAGAGAGAAAAGGGATGTTTTAACCATTATGCCAGAATAACAGGCACAAACAAGGACTTTCCACGAGGGCAAACCAGGCCATATGGTCACCCTAATTACATACTACATCAAGCAGAAATAGTCCAAAATTTCAGGACTATTTTATAGTTCCAGATGGATTTAAATTGTAAGTAACATCCAAGTAAAGAATCTAAATTATAATCTGGATCACATAAGCCAAGTGATGCCCTTACTAAATTTAAAGATTTAAATACCTCACAACATATACAAAATTAATTACAGACGTATTATAGACCTAAATGCGAAAAGGCAAAATAAAAAAGTTTTGAAAAGATAATCAAAGTAACTCCATGACTTGGGATAGGGAAAAACTCCTTAAAAAAAAAGGAAAAGAAACACTAGCCATAATGGAAAAGAGTGATAAACATGTCTACATTAAAAGAACTTCTATTCACCAAAAGAAACCATTAAATGGGAAAAGATACTTGTAACAGATACATCCAGCAAAGGATTCATATTCTAAATATTGAACTCTAGAAAAAAACATGCAATTCAATAGGAAAATGGGCAAAAGATTTCAAAGGCACTTCATGAAAAGATGAAATCCAAATGACCAAGATACGAAAAGGTGTTCACCTCGTTAGTAATCAGGGAGATTAAAACCAGGCACAAACACATACCCACCAGATTGGATAGAACCAAAACATAAAATACCTTACACTAAATATTATTGTTGAAGGATGTGGAACAACTATAACTTTCATATACTGTACTAATAATTGAAATAAAAACTAGTAAACAACTACTTTGGAAAACTGTTTGTCATTATCTAATAAAGACACACAATCCCCATGATCCTGCAATTCAAAGTATACACCATAAAGAAAATTACGTAAACATGCATCAGTAAACTCAAACACAAATGTTCACAAAGGCATTGTTCATAATTGCCAAAAACTGTAAACAATTTAAACAACTGCAGAATATCCAAAACAACTGCAGAAATAAACATATCATATGCATGATGGAATACTATCTCCCAACAAAAGCCAAAATAAATATATACAAGATGATTCCATTTATATAAAGTTCAAACATGGACAAAACTCTATCATTCAGAGATGTAAACTTAAGTGATAAAACTATGAATGTCAGAATAACATTTATATCTAGCTTAAGAGGGCAGTAGTTTGATGGGAAGATGCAGGGGGTGGAAGGCTTGTGGGATGTTGACAATGCCTGTCTTACCCTGGATGGTAGTTACAAGGATCTTTGTTTAAAGATCTTTGTTTATCTACTTATCTTTTCAACATGTGTGGTTATATTTCACAATAAAAAAAAAAAAAACAGCTCCCTAGAGAGGAAAAAAATTAACATCCTAAAAAGAATTCTAAGAATGTTAAAGAGATTAACTCACTCCATAGCTTAAAAAGAGTTAACAAGGATCTCCAAATCCAAATACACACTGTATTCTAAACATACAGTATTCTAAAATCCATGAATAAACTTCTGGCTTCAATCTGTTATACTGCCACTCTTCATCCAAATTTTGAAAAAGGTGGAATTTCAGATATCAAATTACTCAATAAGTCATGTAAATTCTAAAATTTTAAGACCAAACACCCCACTTCTAATTTTGAAATTTGAAATAAGTGCCCGGTTGTTGACTGGACAGTTATAAAGTAGTTTTAGATTAGATACCGCTAGGTAGAATAATATCAAGATTTGATAACTCCAATTTTTTGCAAACACAAATTCCCAAACCTCTGTTACACATTAAATAACTCATATTTCTTAAGAAAAAAGAATATATTATGTATGTGGGGTTAAATATCAAAGCCATAAGTAGAGACATAAATTCAATGATTAAAAAAATATTTTCATTGCTGTACTTATATAACATATTTATCAAGTCATGATAAAAAAGACAAATTATGTTTTGCATATGATTTTAACTATTACAGACTAACAAAATGTTCACTGACCCTAGAAGCTGTTGAAAGGATAATTTGTAAAAATGTGGATCGTTATTAAAATACAGACTTTTTAGGTTCTTGCATAAAAGAGTATACAGATTTTTTTTAAAGACTGAAATGAATACATTAGCAATCTTTACAATGTACAGATTTTTTTCTTTGTGAGGAGTGAAGGAACTGGCAAGACACCTTAAAATTCAGATTAGGTAAAACAATGCCTTTTTAAAAAGCTATTAAACCACTTTAAAGAGAAATACTGTTTTCAGCTTGTATGTGGCTCTCACCAAGAACTGTAGAGGACCTCTTCCACAATTTCACAAAATCACAAAAATTAAAACATTATACAGCTAAATATGCACGCGGGGGGGTCGGTGGGAGGGGAGAGGAAAGAAAATTAAGATAAAATAATTTAAGGCTCCCTACCCAGATATAAGATTTGTCCCAACACGAGTGCTATTAAAAAGGATGTACCAGAGAATCCAAAAAAAATGTCACTAAATACTTGCGTGATACCGCGAAATGACTCTCCTTGGTCAAAAATTAATCTTTTAAAAAAAAACAGATTTAGAAAATTTTTTTCCTATCGCCGTACCTCTCTCCTTACCATGCTATTCATTCTATAACTCTACCATGTGCTGCGAAAATTATCAATACCTTAGTTATCTTGCTTCCCTCTCCTAAGTGTTCCAAAAACTTGTGAGGTTTCTTTCAAGATCAGGAGCTAAAGTTTATTTTCTTCCTGGTTTCCCGGCGGAGCTAAAGCCCAGACGTGTAAACGGAAACAAAACCCAGAAGACTGTGGCGATGCTAAATATTTGGGGGAGAACAGCTTCCTCCCCGACCCCAGAACTCTGTCCCAGGGAGCCTGCACGGGGGTCGGTCAGCGCCCACTGACCACTCAGATCTGCCTTGTGAACAAGGGTCCCGGAAAAAGCTTGAACACTTCTTCCCCCCGAGCTTCCAGAAACAAGGCCGAAACGAGAGCAGCAAACATTTTTAAAGAGATGGTTGCACAACAGGTTTGGAGAAGGATTCCGGTCTAACAGGTAAATACCACACAGGAGACAAGTGGGATGTGATCTGCTCCATGGTACCAATGGCATTTCGAGACCGTCTGCGTCGCAGAGGAAATCCAAAGTTTGGGCACATCACTTACAGTTCACCTGAGGGATATGCAGCGAATTGAAATTAAGAACGCGAGAAAATGGGTGCCGGAGAATCAACAAATCAGCACTTTAAACTAAGACTAGGCGGAAAAATTCTTTGACTACTCAGGCTTTGTTTGATGCTAAGACCGAATTTCGGAGTTGGAAGACGCGTATCTCCGTGTTCTTCGGCCCGTTCTCGGACTTCAGGGCCGCCGTGCCCGCCCAGCTCCCGGTCCTTAGTCCCCGGATTGAAGGCGCGGACCTTGGGGCAGAAGCCTGGGAGCCCGGGGAAGGCCGCGGCCCGGCCCAGCCCGCGACGCCTGGGCCCGGAAGGAGGGAAGGGGGCGGCCCCGCTCGGGAGGACCGCGGAGGGAGTAGGGAGGGAGCGAGGAGGTCGCGGGCCGAGAGCCGGGCGCAACCCCGAGCGCCCGGCCCGGCTCCACACCCAGAGGCCCGCCCCGGCATACCTTTGGCGAGAGCTACGGTAGAGTTCTCGGTGTCGATAGTGTAGAGGATGCCCTCGTAGCGGATCTCCGCCTTGGAGATAAGGCTAATCTTGCTGCCGATGTAAGGGGTGCCCCCGCTCATGGCGCCGCCGCCGCCGCCGCTCCCGGCCGCTCGCAGAGAGGCAGATCCCGCGCCGCTGTGGCCGCTCAGCACGCCCGCTTGCTCCGTAGGCGCCTACAGCAGCCGCCTCAGACCCAACATGGCGGCAGCGCCGGCTCCGCTACCCTCCCCCAGGCTCCCGCCCTCAAGCCGCGGCGCGGCGGCTGCAGCGGCGGCTGCGGCGGCGGCGGCTGCGGCGGCAGCACCAGCGGCGGCGGCGCGAGGCATGCTGGGCCGGGGAGGCCGCGCTCTCGCGAGACTCGGCCGGCTGTGGGCGGCTTCGGACGCCTTGGCAGCCTCAGTAATTCTAGCTTCGCCGCTTTATCTGATCTGTCGCTACCGTGCCCGCGCGGCCTGAGAGGAGATTCACGGAGAGGCCAAGTTCCTCGGGACGCGAGGACACTGCGGGCTGGAGTGGCGGCGCGCGCGATCCTCTTGACCTCAGCTGCGGCCTCCGCCATTTCCAGACCCATTGTATCTTGTCCTGAGGCCGGTGTCATTGCAAAAGTGGATCCCTCTACCTGGAAAGTTTCCAACCCGCCTCCAAGCTCCTGGTGAGCCTCTTTAAGACCCAGGCACTTCGTCTTTGAGGCAGCTGCGCCCCTCATGGAACCCTCATGGCCCCATTACAGCATGTTACCCAGCGAGTCTCCCCTCTTCCCTTCGCTGCTCCTGGAGGTGGGATTCTGTCCAGCACTTTCAGATTGCCTCATCCAGGCTCATTGCTTTCAATGTCATTGCACACAGACCAATCCCAAGTGTTTGTCTGCAGTTTTGTTCAGTCCTGTGAACTCTGGATTCATATAAGCCATAGCCTTGTTAACTAAAAAAAAAAAAAGCACAACCTAAAGGTTGAGAATTGTGTTTTATTTCGGGATTTTGCTGAGGATTTAAGCCTGGAGACAGCCTCTGAGATAGCTCTGAGGGCCTACTGGGAAGAGGTAAGGGAGGAGCCAGGATATATAGGAGTATTTGAAAAAACGAAAACAAAATAACAACCCAGGTAGCCTAACATCAAAAGATTACTCTTAACTGAAGAAAAACCAGACATCTCAAGTTAATGAATTTACCACTTTTCTATGTACGGGAAGATGTAAGAGTCTGGGCTCATTGAAATCATTCTTTTGATATGCACCTTAACTATCTAGGGTTAGTAAACTGTTTTTCTCCGTCCTGAACCCCCTCAGGGTGCACAGTTGGGGGTGGCTACTGTGACTGACGGCTTGATAGCTGTAAAATCCTTGTTTACTTATATGGCAGGGGACGTCCACAGCCTCTTCAGCATCAGCATCTCCAGTTGAATGTCGCTAATTGGCAACTTTGTGTGTCCGAAGCCATAATCCCGATTTCCCCTGTAAATCCAACCTTTCCACTCAACTGTTCACGCCCGCATCTGTTCTGACTGCAAAATCATGTTCATTTCACATATAGAATATATCCTGAATCTGAGCACTTCTCACCATCTTCACCCCTACCCTACAATAAGCCACCCTTACTCTGGCCAGAATTATTGCAGTAGCCTCCTAAAAGGCCCTTCTACCTTTGCCCGTGTCCCCAATAGTTTATTCTCAACACAGCAGCCAGAGGGATCTTGTTAAAAAATCTAAGTCAGATCATATCCCTCCTCTATTCAATACTCCTCTCCCCAGTGATCTCATATCACACAAAATGAAAGCCAGACTCCTTAGTTTGGCCTATAAGGACGTACATGATTTAGTCCCTTGTTACCCATTCTGTTCTAGCCACTCCTTTTTCACCCAGAACTTTCCCACTTTATTCAGATCTCTACCCAAGTGTCACCTCTAGAGATGACTTTCCTTACTGTTTTGTTTAAAATGATACCACCTAGGACTTCCATGGCGGTCCAGTGGTTAAGACTCTGCACTTCCACTGCAGGGGGCACGGGTTTGATCCCTGGCTGTGGAACTAAGATCCTGCATGATCCGATATGCCGCATGGTGTGGCCAAAAAAAAAAAAAAAGATAAAATAATACCACCGTCATCACTTTACATACCCTTACTCTGCTTGCTTTTTCTTCATATCTCCCTCCAATATCTCTAATTATTTGTGTCTTTCTCCTTCACTAGAATGTAAACGTTTTGAGACAGGGATGTGACTTTGGTCACTGCTATATGATCAGAACCTAGTACAGAGCCTGGAACAGAGGAGCTTTTCAGTAAATTGCATGAAGTTGGATAAAGGCAGAGCACGGGCAGGACGTCTGGTGAGCTGAGCGAACAAATGGTGAGAAGCCTGGCAATAAAGAGAGGGAAGCAGGAGAGAAGACTAGAGGCTGTGTTGGGTCTGGTGCACAATAGCTTCAGAGGCAGGCTGTGAAATACCTGCTTCAGTACAAAGTCCCTGCCAGGGAGTTGAACTCTTATTTCTGTTCTTTCCTCCCCCTTCCAGGCCCGGAACCCAGCTTATCTTCTCATGCTTCTTCAGTGAGCTCATGCTGTTCCATATATAAGCTGATTCCCAAATTTACATCTTCACGCCAGATCTCCTGATTTCCAGGGTCGCACTAACTACATACTTACTAGATGCAGTTGCTTGGGTGTCCCTCAGGCACTTCCAATTCAACATGTTCAAAATTATCTGCATCTACTCCCCTCCATCCCCAAAATAAACCTGCCCTTTATCCATGCTCCCTGGCCCTATCACTGGCCCCAGGACTCACTCAGGTGTCCAGTCTTGAAACCAGAGTCCTTATCTGGCTACATGTAATCAATCACCAATCTTGGTGATTCCCGTTTATGTTTTTCAATTCCTAGTTTCCTGCACCCTAGGGCACCAGGAACTGTGCATAAATGCAGCTGATCAGTGTGGTAGTCCATAGTGTATTATGCATGTGAATCTCTAACTTAGGTGCTAGAAAAAGGTTGAGAAGGTGACAACTTTCACTACCATTGCTTCTGAAAACCGAAATCTCATGTTGCTCCCCTGCTTAAGACCATCAGTGATTTCTGGTAGCCTACAGAAACAAACAAACAAAACTCCTTCTCCATTGAATGTTTTCAGCAATAGAAACTCTAGAATTTATATATTGGAGGGCTTAAGGAGAGGCAATCAAGTTGAAAGAGGAAATGAAAAGGATGGGAGGCTTGTCCAAAGCTATGTTTCTAGCTGGTACACTGTTTTTTTTTACATTTGTGTTTGCTTGCTGAGGCTGGGGAGTGGCTGATGGAGAATATGGGGGAAATAGACTCCTGCCACTCACCGTCTTTTGGTGTGGCCACAGTTATTCACTGTAACTCCCAACATACTCTCTGCATGTCTTAGGCTCTGGCCACACTGAATTCATTGCTTATCAGAACATATGTATCACTCTCGCACTTCTAACCATTCTTTCATCTCCTGTTTGATATGAAAGACTCTCTATTCCATCTCCTCTTGACAGGCAAGATTCAAAGTCACCCTCACAGTATAGATAAAAATTAGCTCAGAATAGATCAAAGACCTAAATGTAAGAGCTAAAATTATAAAGCTCTTAGAAGAAAACATTGGGGTAAATCTTCTTGACCTGGATTAGGCAGTAGTTTCTTGGCTATGCCACAAAAAGCTCAAACAACCAAAGAAAAAATAGTTAACTTAGATTTCGTAAAAATTAAAAACTTCTGTGCTTCAAAGGACATTATCAAGAAAGTGAAGAGACAACTCACAGAATGGGAGAGACTATTTGCAAATCACAGATCTGATAAGAGATTCAGAATATATAAAGAATATATTGATATAAAGAATTCTTAAAACTAAAAGAAATTAAAACATTAAATTAAAAAACACAAATTAAGTTGCCCAATTAAAAAATGTGTAAACCATAATGGAAAAGAATATAAAAAAGAATGTATATATATATGTATAGCTGAACCACTTTGCTGTACAGCAGAAATTGACACATTGTAAATCTGCTATACTTCAATTAAAAAACTAAATTAAAAAAAATGTGTGAGGGATTTGTATAGACTTTTCTCCAAAGAAGATATACAAATGGCCAAAGAAGCACCAAAAAAGATGCTTAACATCATTAATCATTAGGGAAATGCAAATCAAAACCACAATGAGATGCCACTTCATACCTACTAGGATGGCTAGTAATGAAAAAGATGGTCAAGAACATGTGTTAGTAAGGATGTGGAAAAATTGGAACCCTCATACATTGCTGATGGGAATGTAAAATGTAAAATAGTGCAGGCTGTTTGGAAAATAGTTTGACAGTTCCTCAAAAAGTCAAACGTAGAGTTACCATGTTACACAACTGTTCCATTCCTAGGTATATACCCACAATAATTGAAAATAATGTCCCCACAAAAAACTTGTGCATAGATGTTTATAGCAGCATTATTTATAATATAGTGGAAACAACCCAAATATCCATTAACTGATGAATGGATAAACAAAATATAGTATATCTATGGAATGGGATATTATTTAGCCGTAAAAAGAAATGAAGTACTGGTACATGCTACAACATGGATGTACCTTAAAAATGTTACACTAAGTGAAAGAAATCAGCAGGAAAGACACATATTGTATGATTCCATTGATATGAAATGTTCAGAATAGATTAGTAGATTAGTGGTTACCAGGGGCTGAGGGGTATGGCTGGGGAGTAGGAATGGGGAGTGACTGCTAATGGGTGCAGGATTTCTCTTTCAGGTGATGAAAATGTCTGGAATTAGATAGTGGTGATTGTTACACTACATTACGAAGATTCTAAAAACCAGTAAATTGGGCTTCCCTAGTGGCACAGTGGTTAAGAGTCTGCCTGCCAATGCAGGAGACACGGGTTCGAGCCCTGGTCTGGGAAGATCCCACATGCCGCGGAGCGACTAAGCCCGTGCGCCACAGCTACTGAAGCCTGCACGCCTAGAGCCTGTGCTCTGCAATAAGGGAAGCCTGCGCACCGCAACAAAGAGTAGCCCCCGCTCGCACAACCAGAGAAAGCCCTCAGGCAGAAACAAAGACCCAACGCAGCCAAAATAAATAAATAAACAGATTTATTGAAAAAGAAAAACAAGGGCTTCCCTGGTGGCGCAGTGGTTGAGAGTCCGCCTGCCAATGCAGGGGACACAGGTTCGTGACCCGGTCCGGGAAGATGCCACATGCCGCGGAGCGGCTAGGCCCGTGAGCCATGGCCGTTGAGCCTGCGCGTCCGGAGCCTGTGC